ATGAAAACTAAAAAGAGCAAAGGACCCTGAATTACCCCACTTCTGACAGGGACGGCATTCGACAATGAAGAGTTGATTTTAACTATTTGATGTCGATTGCTGAGGAAGGAATCAAACCAGGCTAGTAACGGGTTTTGGACCCCATAAGATGCGAGTTTACCTATGAGAAGTTGGTGGTTGACCATGTCGAAGGCCTTAGAAATGTCCAGGTATAACACTAATACTAGATATCCTTGGCTACGAAGCGAATAGACTAAATTAAAGAAGTCAAAATGACATGTCATACAAGATCGATTTTGAAGAAATCCATGTTGCGAATCATCAATAAATTGTTCGGTCAATAAATAGTTATATAGTTCGTCACTAATAATTTTTTCCATAATCCTAGAGATAACTGGAGTAATATTTGTTGGCCGATAGTTGTTCATGTCAGTCTTATCTCCGGATTTGTAACGTGGTATGATGTACGCGGTTTTCCAACGGTCAGGATAAGAGCTTGATTCAATAGAGAGAGTAAACAGCTTAAAGAGAAGAAGTGGAATATCTGGACCACCATATTTGTAGAGAAATGATGAAATCCCGTCTGCTCCGTGACCTTTCGAAAACTTGAGGTTATTTATAACCTTACTAATTTTCAGACATGTGAAGGCGATAGATTTAATTGAGTTACCAGTCACGCATAGAACTCTTGAAACAGAGCCATTTATGGATTGTTTGCCATTTGCAAAATTACCACTGAAAAGATCTGCTATGGTTTTAGGTTCATATATAAAACTATTATTATGCAGGATGCATGGTATATCAACATTTTGAGTTAATTTACCACGTTTATTGTAAAGGTGGATTAGGTTTTGCACTTTTGAGCTAGTACTTAGTGCTAATAGCTCTTCATTGATGGTGTTTAACCTATGTTTCTCTTTTATTTGATTAAAAGTTACTGTTATTTGTGTGACTGCTGTGAAGTCGTTAGATTTAAAATAACGTTTTTTTAAGGCGTCTTAGTTTATTACGATATTTAGCTGGTATATACAATTCGTAATGTTTACTAATAATGTAAGTCTTAATTGGTGCACAGAAGTCTAGGCAAGAGTTAACAACCAAATAGAATATGTTGATGGCATCTGTCAGACTATTACATGAGAAGAATTCATCCCAGTCTGACAGTTTGATCAATGAGCGCAAGAGGTCCCAGTCTGCATGCTTATAGTCTCTATAATTGCAGGTTCTTTGAATTGGTCGGTTGTAGGAGGGATGGATGGGGAGAGCACAAGCTACTATCCTATGATCACTGCTTTCAAACTCGTTGTATACTCGTACAGATAGGGGAATGATATCTCTACTAAATATTAGATCAAGTGTATTATCATCCCTTGTTGGGGTACGAACCCACTGTGACCAGCAGTACAAATTAAGGATTGATAAAAATTCATCATTGCTAGACTGACAACTACCGATACTCCAGTTAATCTGAGGATAATTGAAATCTCCAGTGATAATCTTGATATACCTTAATTCGCAAGCATGGTAAGCAGAGATGGATAGTAGCTAGCAGTGGAATCCAGGACGCGCGTTTCTTCATATTTGGGACTCGTCAGCTGTATGTACCTGCATCTCAGAGTTGATGTTCACTCTGGGACTCGAACCCAGTACCCTCGCTTCAAACGCCATCTGAGATGCAGGTACATCCAGCTGACAAGTCCCAAATAGGACGAAACGCGCGTCCTGGATTCCACTGCTAGCCACTATCCATCTCTGCTTAAATCAATCTTTAAACTATGATATATGTCGGTCATTTAGTTATGAATAATGCAAAACCTGTCACAGATATAGATCAATCTAAATCCTTTCACCATATCATCAACATAGTGCAATAAAATTATACGAAAAGAACAAAAATAGCAGTAGTAGTATTGTGTACTACTTATAACGACATAAATAGTACATGACACTAGTGAGGAAGCTAATATCTAGATACGGTAACTGAATTAGAATGAAAAGAAATGTACGGAAACATTAATCAATTGTTGTGGCAATTTAGTATTATTATAAGTAATGGTTGTCATAATATATTTGTAATAGTGAAATTAGTAGTTGTATTAGTAGTCGTATTAGTAATATTAGTAGCATTTTGGTGTATTCTACCTATATGGAAATAACTAATATATAACTCTTGTCAGAAGAGTAATATCTGGCAGAAGAAACTCAAGTAGTTCGTAGAGTAAATAAGGTGAAGCAAAAGGAAATATTATGGAAATGCAATAGTAATAATATTAGTGATTGTAATAATCTGTTTAAATTGGTGTTAGTGGTAGGATTATGGTGTCTGTTACTTATATCGAAATAAGTAGTATATATAACGCTGGTCAAGAGAAGAATGACTGACAGCAGAAACTTAAGAAGATCGAGAAGGTAATAAGAGGAACTGAAAGCAATTAGTATGTGTTATGCTTGACACTAAATCGATTCCGCGGTAACGAACGAAAGCCAATGACACGATAAGCTATTCTAATCGGTTGTCCCAGGCCCCGCTAACTAGATAAAGAAGTCCAAGGCAAGTAGGGGAATATATATGTATTCCGTAAGCAGCCGAGTACAAGCAATCCAATAATGGAAAAAGTCAAGCGCATTTATACAACAACAATTTGTCCTTGAGCATCATTGGTAAATAGCACACATAAAGAAACAATGGACCAATAGCGTTTAAGATAGTTTGCAGGTGGGAAATATGACGTGAAGGTAAAAAGGGCGCTTTTGGCGCGAAAACAGCTAAATTCAAATTTTCAAAATAAAACTACAAGATTAGGCCATTTACCAAGTGAGTTCTGGGGATTTGACATCCTCAACAGTATGGGACTGCATAATTAACAGAGATTATTCTATTGATAGAAGTACAGTGTTATGTGCTACTTCTATAGGCATAAGTAGTATATACTATCGGTCAAGAAAAGAATGACTACCAGCAGAAACTCGAGAAGATCAAGGAGAAAAAAAACAGGAACACGAAGCAATTAGTATTGAAAAGCAGTAGTATTATTAATAGTATCAATATGAGTAGTAATACTAGATTTATTGTAGTATAAGCAGTCACAATATTTGTATTAGTAGTTGTAGTATGATGTATGCTACTTACATCGAAATAAGAAGTATATAACGCTGGTCAGGAAAAGAATGTCCGGCAGCGGAAATTCAAGAAGATCGATGAGGAAGGAACGGAAACAAAAGGCAATTATAATCGTAATACAGGAACATTGAATTCTGAGAGGATTGACTGATTTTCGCAAAATATCAGTAGTATTAACATCAGTGATAGTCAATATTAAGCATAGAAAGGATGATTTCGGAAGGAAAAAGTAAAATTATTCGCAAAATAAAAAGTATGAAACTCATGATCTAAGGGGAAATAAAAAGTGAATGGATCTATTCTGTTGAAACCGATTTTGATCTGTTTCATCCACCATCTCTAATCACTTATTATTGTTAGTGTTACTGACTCTAATCAGATAATTAACACTTACAGATATGACTCAAAACAACAGTCAATAATCTCATGGATTAATCCTACGTCTTAGTTTCTTAAAGACAATTCTTGATCCAACTAATATTACATATCTATGTAGGCGGTGAATAGGTATGCTTAGCATGTCCTAATCATCTTAATTAACAATGATCTTCAACCGACTTATCATTTCTACCTTCACCTTGTACCTAACCTCAATATCACTCACTCAAATATTCCACAAAACTGAAGTAATACTTCGATAACAGTTATAATCAAACAAATTACAATCTGAGTATGTCTTCTACTTCTATAGATCAAGTTTCTAAGTTATAAAGTAAATCAGAGCGAATTATTCCACAATATGCTCTCCTCTTTCTCATCAAACGGTCAATCAACTACCGCAAACTTGACTGTTCCTTTTGTAAATATCAGTGACCGATGGAGTTCAAACCACGTCTGTTGTGAGATATCAACTCACAATTGGTGAATGGTTGCTCAACTCTGTCTGTTTGGCATATAAACCCAGTATGTTTGAAATATAATAATTCATATTGCAGAGGCTTTTATTGGTGTTTTGAACTTAACTGGCTGGGCTAGGCAGATAACAGGACAGAAAAGTGCTTTAGACTGCTCGTACAGGTTTCGTGTGTCATTGGTTCGATCGATAAATCACTGTACTCTAATTGGTGGCACTTTCACGTCATATATAAACAGTGCACACAGGTTATAACACTTCCCATTGATGTTTAGGACTGCAATTGATCAGACACTTATTATCAAAATGTATACAAATGCTCAAATAATCAGAAAATTATTTCAATAATTATGGAATGCCTTATCTCAGTTTACACTTGAAATTTCTATCTAACCATAGAGTAGTTGTGATCAGTGTAATTTTTTAAATTCTACGTCATGAATTGACTTTTCCTTAGACAAATTCTGAAAGCCATGAAACACTGGACTGGTGTTTCATCCTTGTATGAGATACTTCAGTAGTACGCATCCATAAGTCCGTCAGGGATCGAACCCAGAATATTCAAACCTTGCGGTGAACTTCACTTCACGGATATTCCAGTTCACATGAGTTTCTCTTCGTTTGTTATCATTTGGTTCGCATGAGACTGTTACGTCCTGGGTTCGAATCTCATGAGGCGGGATCGTGGATGCGCACTGTCACTGAGAAGTCCCACACTGGGACAAAACGGCCGTCCAGTGCTTTCAGGTTTTCCATGGTGGTCTAGCTTCAATCGACTCATGATGTCAACTAAAATCTCCATGAAACCCCCTTCGGAAAAGAAAAAAGATTTCAGTGTACTGGTACATAAAATACATCTTGTATAATACCTTTATAAAAAACAATGATAATCATTATTCAAAATATAATTATATAGTAATCAGTATATAAGTAGTATAGAAAACAATTTTGAAAAAGAAAAAAAGGAGAGGATCCAAAGTTACCCATGAAAAAGAAAAAGGAGACGAATTCTGTTTTTACTTTATTCTATTGATTACTACTTAAATTCTTATCAGTAGTATCTTGATAGATTTGTATATTCAATAATTCATTGGAAATTTGAAAAAGATTATAAATTCGTTGAGTTAAACGATAAGTCAATGTCCAATGGTTTGTTGCTATGGTTACTTGTTTGTTATGATTTGATTGTTGTTTTAATTTATGATGAATATGTTTCATTAACATCATATAAATTGTATATTTTAATAATTCAAATGATCTAGTATATGATTCATTTAAGAGGCCTAAAAGTTGTGGAAAAGAAAAGAGTGAGATTAATGAAACTTGAACAATATGAACGAGAAGCATAAGACAGTTGATTAGTATAAGTATAAAACTTCGCATAGACGACTTTACAATTCATCGAAACCATGGCGTAAAAATCTTATAGATACTTACTTACTTACGCCTGTTACTCCCAATGTAGTATAGGCCGCCGACCAGCATTCTCCAACCCACTCTGTCCTGCGACTTCTTTTCTAGTTCTATCCAGTTGTAGTTCATTGTTGTCATTTCTGTATCTATTTCTCGACGTAATGTCTTGTTTGGTCTTCCTCTTCTCCCTCGGCACTGAGGATTCCATGTGAGGGCTTGTCTCGTGACGTAATTGGGTGATTTACTCAAAGTGTGCCCAATCCACTTGCAGTGCTTCTTCCTGATTTCTTCCTTCGCTGGAATCTGATTTGTTGTCTCCCACAGTAGCTTGTTGCTGATAGTGTCTGACCAACGGATCCGAAGTATTTTACGTAGACAACTGTTAATAAACACCTGTATCTTCTAGATGATGGCTTTCGTAGTTCTCCACATCTCCGACCCATACAGTAGAAATGCCTTGACATTTGTATTGAAAACTCTGATCTTCGTGTTGGTTGATAATTGTTTTGAGTTCCAGATGTTCTGCAGTTGTGAATATGCTGCTCTTGTTTTGCCGATCCTCGCCCTCACATCAGCAGCTGATCCACCGTGTACATCGATGATGCTTCTCAGATATGTAAAGGTTTCCACACTCTCCAAAGCTTCTCCGTCAAGTATAATTCGATTGGTGTATGATGTATTGTATCGGAGAGTCTTGTTTTTCAGCTTGTTTATATTGAGACCTACTGCTGCTGAGGCTGTTGTTACATTGGTCGTCTTCTCCTACATTTGTTGTTGCGTGTGTGATAGAACAGCCAAATCATCTGCTCCAGTATCCTGAAGGAACAAATGGCGTATGAATCAGTCGTTGGTCACCAGCTACCATGGAACTGCATCTCTTCACGATGCTCTACTGCCTTGTGTATCAGACCTTTAGGTCAAAGGCTCGAGGTGTGGCCCCCTAAGATAACCACCTGTTTCATTTTTAGGTACCTGGGCAGTATCACAGCCCTCACACAAATCAAATGAGATTTGTGTGGCGCATATGTATCTGGTGCTTCCTTGTACCAATATTTATGTGTTTAAATAAATAAATAAAATAATTAAGGTTAATTTGTAGTATAAACTGTCATAGAACTTTGCAATCTCTGTCAATAAATCACTCATGGATAAAATAATTTCGGTGCTTTGCTTTTGCAAACATTTATTTCATTTTTATTTGAACACATAAATATTGGTACAAAGGGGCACCAAAATATATATGCTCCACACAAATCAAATGAGATTTGTTTGAGGGCTGTGATACTGCCCAAGTGCCTAAACCGAAGCAGATGGTTTTCTTAGGGGGCTACACCTCGAGCCTTTGACCTTAAGGTCTGATCCACAAGGCAGTGGGGCAACGTCAGGAGATGCAGTCTCATGGTAGTCGGTGACGAACGTTTGATTCATACGACATTTGTTCCTTCAGGATACTGAAGTCCATGTGCACCATTGGTTTGGAATGAGGGTTTCACAACTCTCCTAGGTGGACTAGCCTTGTCCACCAACCCGATGAGAAGGAAGTGAGTTGGACTTCCCTGTCAGAGGCTATATACGCGTGACCATATGACAGTATTTCGAGTGGAATAGTGGAATCTCCTCATTCTCGGCCGTACCAGGGCATTTGGGGCAAACATTATTTCTACTTGTTCGATTTTTACCTCTTAATTTCCTTTTTCGAATTCAATAACTAGACATTTATAATTTATGACTTACTAACTACATCACAAAGTAAACGTGAGCTAGGAATCCTGAGAGTGTAAAGAAAAAGAGGAAGGCAAAAAAACACTGTGTCGGCAGTTGAAATCAAATATGAAAAGGAACAACAGCAACTAGAAAGGATTGCCCAGGAGAGAATTCTATAGAGAATGCTAGTTAATAGCCTATACTTCTCCTAGAGGGATAATAAGTATAACTGATCCACATTATATAACCGATTGCATAACTATCATTATTCCTATCGTCTTGAAAACAATCCCTAATTTAAAATTTTGTCATGAATCAAATACACACATATAATTGACTTACCAGAATTTAATAGAATAAAACATCTCATACATCCCCATTCAAATGAATCAAAATTATGTCTTTTTATACTACTTATTAGCAATAACAAATTATTATTAATAGTAGTAGTATTCCATTTTGAACTACTACTACTACTATTACTACCACTACTACTAGTAGTAGTAGTAGTAGTAGTATTCGTAGTACTACCATTACTATTCCATAATTCATTGGTATCATTTGAATTATGTTCTAAACCAGTTTCAATTTGACATCTATCCAAATGGACAATTGATTGGTTGCTATGGAGATGACTTGATGGGATTGAGGTTGGTTTATTGAATTTGTAATATTTAGAATTATCATCTTGTTGAGGATGAGGAGGATGATGAGGATGATTATGATGGTGATGAATGGAGTAGACCAATGATTCAATCTGTTCAATTATGATCTCTTCATTTGGATAATTATGAATTGACTAGAATATAAAAGTAATTAAGAAAGAGTTTTTTTAAGTAAGTATATGAAGGTTGATCTGATATTCAGTCTTAAATGACATGGAGCCCTAAAATGTATAACCATCAGTCCAAATCCCTATATTATATCAACAAAATGGAATGTGAAATCATCGAGACAAAATATCAGATTAGTATTGAAAGTACTAATGTGGTGTAGGTTGCTTACATCCATATAAGTAGTATATGATGATTGTCAAGCAAAGAATGCATTTCAGTAGAAGATCGATAAGGAAATAACGGAACCGAAACGCAATTGGTATGAAAATGCATGAACAATAATAATAATAAGCGGAGATGATGAACTGATATTCGCCGAACGAACTTTGAAGATTGAGATAATCGATTGATAGTTTACAAATGAACTCTTTACTGTATGGTTGTCAGATTTTAGTGAGATAGTCTGTGATCTTCGTGGTAAATACATTCCACTGTCCCCATTCGTCTTTTTGTTCACTACACTAACAGTATCGGTGGTAGTGGTAGTTGTAGAAGACATATTGTATAGACAATATGATTCGAAAAGAAGGAATAAATTCATTAAGTAGAGAAGTGTCAAACTCCAAATCTAGTCAGAATGGAGATTTCAGTACTTGCATGGTTGAAATCATTAGTCAATTGTAGCTAGATCACCATGGAAAATCTGGAAACACTGGATGGTCGTTTCGTTCTATTGTGGGACTCTTCAGCGGGGTCGTGGATGCGCACTGCTGAGGAGTCCCATAATATGACGAAACGGCCATCCAGTGCTTCCAGGTTTTCCATGGTGGTTTAACCTCAATCGACTCATGATTCCAAATCTAGTATCAGATAACAAGTGAATGAATCTGTGCTATTATGAACAGTTCTAAGTTATATCACGCAATGTCATTGACGATTAGTATGGATCCTAAGCAGGTAGGTTTTTGAATCAACACGAATTGATTGATCAATTAACAGCATGAAGAAACTGAACTATTGTTTTGTTCTAGTATATAGGACTCTTCAGTCAAACAAAGTGTATACCTTTAATCCAATATAAAATCAAGTCCAAGACTTTTGAGTCTTATGGTGAGCATGTTGTCTACAGACCATCATATTTTACTCTTACTGTTCCTACTTCATACTTTAATAATTTCACATTGTGGTTTGATTGTTATTCAGTATTATAAATGATTAAAGTCAAGAATATGAAATATTGAATCCCGACTTTAGTCGTCTAATGATATTGTGGTTATTGAAAACCCCAAAGTTTCAAGTCAGTGCTTGATAGGGTCATGGGTTCGAACTGTTCAAAATCTCAACTCCTTTCAACTGATAGTAACCCATAAAGGCGATCACCTATAAATGAAGCTATCCATAAACCTTTTAAGTAAGACAACTAGCAGAGTAACTACTATAAATACAAACTCTGTCAGTGGAGTTCAACCAGATCTGTTGTGAGATATCAACTAACTGAAGACAATTGGTGAATGGTTGCTCAATTTCCTGGATTGGATGAAGTTAGACATTAACACCGTTGGATGCCGGCTCAGTGGTTCAAGAGGTTAAGAGCTCACGTGTGAGACTGATAGGTCCTGGGTTTGAATCTCGTTAGGCGAGATCGTGGATGCGAACTGCTGAGGAGTCCCACAATAAGACGATATGGCAATTCAGTGCTTCTAGGTTTTCTATGGTGGTCTAGCTTCCAATGACCCATGATTTCAAATATAAAATTACTAAAATCTCCACAAAAAACGTCTTCTGTCAGAAATATACCGTTATGTGTGTATTTGATTTTAGATTAAACCTTACTTGTGTGTCCGTGTTTGGAATACTGCCATTATCAACTAAGGAATAAATGTATAGGTATTTAGTTCTTTTTACAGAAACTTCATAGCAATCAGCAACAATGGTCATAGACAAAACTGAACCCTGATTTTTCAAAGCATCTTTAGGCCGTTACATCATAATCAAATCATCAGTCTTTCCAATATTCAATAACTTACTTTACTAATCATGAGTAATGACTATTTGTCTTTAACTTTCTCTTACGTAAGTGTACGAGCGTAGGTTCAATTAGATCGGGGAATCACTAGTTCTAAACTCAGATTAATCAATCACTAGTGAAAATTACAATAGATTTATAGCTTCTAGATGAAATAATCAGGAACAAGAGAACAACATCCAGATATCACATGACAGATGTAAAATCAATCGGAAATGGAATGCCTTCCAGAAGAACATTAAATCGAGGAGAACAGGAAAGAAATCTTAGATCATTCGAAGCAACAAATGTTTAACCACATTGTGGTTAAACAATAAATCGGTTTACCCAACTTGACGTCTCGGTCACTACAGTATTAGTATTCATCAGTTAAAGAGGTTAAGACAACATTTAGATGTATTAGACTAGATCTCATGGATTGAAACTTCGAAGAAGGATTGAAGCAGGAAATGTATGAAATAAAGATCATCATTTTCAACCATTACTCAATAAGATAGACAATTTTTCCACTCACATTCATAACAAAGTTGCAACCGATGTCAAACCTCGAATAAAAGGAGAAGAGTTAATATTCCATTGGTGTTGTTTTACTTGTATCTTCCGATTGTTATTTAGGGCTGCAATTAATCAGTCTGTTGTTGGCATATATGTATCCTGTGCGAACTGTTTCGATATTGCCTGAAGTCACAAGCTTTATAAGCAATGATGGATAGTAGCTAAGCAGTGGAATCCAGTTTAACGCATGTTTCGTCCTATTTGAGACTTGTTAGCTGAATGTACCAGCATCTCAGACTTGTTGATGTTCACTCTGGGACTCAAACCCAGTACCATTTGCTTCAAATACTATCACGTTATTCACTTAGCTACTGAGTCTTGAAGAGTTAAGTGGTAAGGTTAATAACTCTACCCTATAAAATATAACCTTCCTGATATATATATATATATATATATATATATATATATATATATACAGCAGATGGGGGGTTTGTGGAGGTTTTAATAATTTTATAGTTGAAAGCATTAATCAATTGAATTTAAACCACCATGATAAACCTGGAAGCACTGAACGAACATTTCATCTTATTGTGAAACTCCTCAGCAGTGAACATCCACGATCCTACCTCGTGAGATTAGAACCCAGGACTTATCAGTCTCGTGCGCAAGTGCTTAACTTCTAGACCATTGAGCTGGATTCGAATCCCGGAGAGTGGGATCGTTGATGCGCACTACTATTGAGGAGTCCCATAATAGGCCAAAACAGTCGTCCAGTATTTCCAGGTTTTCTTGGGTGGCCTAGCTTCAATTGATTGATGATTTCAACTTTGAAGAATACATAGTTACTATCAATCGATAAATAAACAATCATTAAATAATTTATTAAAAAGAGAAAAAGTTAATTCAATAAATTTTATACCCAGATGTTTCAATATTTGTTCCTGTTGATTTTTATATTTTAATCAATAAAATGGTATTACAAATAGATACGTTCGTAACTATACTCACACACACACACATGCACACACGCACATAAAGAGAGATATGTAAATACATCAAAAGATACACACACACACATACATACATACATACTACATGTTCACGTACATACATGCATACCATGTTTACATATTGAATATTCACGTGTATGAAACATAATTTGTTTACTAATAAAAAAAAAATTATAATTCTTAAGATGTTGCTCTTTTTCCTGGCCCCCCACCACCACCACCCTGTAATCATTATTACTTAATATTATGATGTGTAGATATGACCTTTTTTTTTTCTTTTTTTTCTGTTTTACTACCAAAAAAAAGAAAAAAAAATCTTATCATAAATATGTGGAAATGTTTACTGTTGATAAAAAGGAAAAAAAATAATTTGTTACCAAGCCTTGTTGATAAGTTAAATGTTTTATTGAATCTTTTAGATTGAAAATTTCTTCAAATATCCTTGGTCTTGTCATAGTATTTCAGATTTATGATAATAATAATAATAATAAACCATTTGTAAATTGTTCTAATGAGATGAACTGATAAATATGTTGATATAGTTGAGATCATGAGTCAATTGAAGCTAGACCACTATGGGATATCTGGAAGAACTGGACTGCCGCTTCGTCCCAGTGTGGGATTCCTCAACAGTGCGCATTCACGATCCCACCTCCCGAGTTTCGTGCGCCAGCGCTTAACCTCTATACTGGGGGGTTTGTAGAGATGGTAGGAAGTTCAAGAGTTGGATTCAAAAGTCAATGTTAGCTAGACGATTATTGAAAGCCTATAATCATTGGACGGCTGTTTCATCCTATTATGAGACTCCTCAGCAGTGCTCATCTACTATACGACACATGAGACTTGAACCGAAGGTCTTGTATTCGATTCACATCCTAGGCATCAACTTATAAACTTAATTATTAAAATATTTTTGTCAGAAGAGGGGTTTTATGGAGATTTTAGTAATTTTATATAGTTGAAATCATGGGTCAATTGGAGCTAGACTATAATGGAAAACCTGAAAGCACTGGACGGCCGTTTCGTCCTATTGTGAGACTCCTCAGTGGCAGTGTGTATCCACGATCCCACCTTATGAGACTCAAACCCAGGACCTATCAATCTCGCGTCAGGTTCGAATCTCGGGAGGCGGGATCGTGAATGCGCACTGCTGAGGAGTCCCACAATAGGACGAAACGGCTGTCCAGTGCTTCCAGATTTTTCATCGTAGTCTAGCTTCAATTGATTCATGATCTCAACTATTAAAATTTGTCAATAAATTAACTGAAATTCTACTGATTCATAGAATTATAAATATTATGTGTTCATGAATCATGGTTGTTCAATATCATGAAATTAAAAATGTTTTCATAGTTGAAAGCATGAATCAGTTGAAGCTAGATTCCTATGGAAAACCTGGAAGCACTGGACAGCCGTTTCGTCCTATTGTGGGACTCCTCCGCAGTGCACATCCACGGTCCCTCCTCACGAGATTCGAACTCAGGACCTAACAGTCTCGTGCCAGAGCACTTAACCGATAGACCACTTAGCCCGCTGGGATCCAACGGTGCTAATATTTAACTTCAACCAATCCACGAAGTTTGGGCAATCGTTCATCAATTGTCTTCAGTGAGTTGATATCTCACAAAAGACCTGGTTGAACTACACTGGTCGCTGCTTCTTACTAGAACTTCAGGAAATATTTCTGGATGGAATATTTAGCGATCTAAATTCAAGCTTTTACTGTAGGATACTAATGTTCTGCATTCGATACCAGATTGAGTTTTGTTAGCTCACTACTGAGGAGTCTCTGTCTAAGACGAAACAATGATTTCTGATTTAAAATAGTTTTCGAATTAATAATAATAATAATAATAACAATGATTCACTATAAGTTTTCTTTCTCAGTTAAAATAACAAGTCAACTTAAGCTAAACCATCATTGAAAACCTAGAAGCATTAAATGGTTATTTCGCTTTAGTATGGAACTCCTCATCAACTCACAATCAGCAACAAGCTACTGTGGGAGAGAACAGACCAGATTTCAGAGGAGGAAAAAAATCAAGAAAAAGCGCTGGAAGTGGATCAGACACACATTGAGGAAAGCACCCAACTGCGTCACAAGACAAACCCTCACTTGGAATCTTCAAGGCCAAAAGAGAAGGGAGAGACCAAAGAACATATTACGTCGAGAAATTGAGACAGACATGAGAAGAATGGACAAAAATTGAACAGAACTAGAAAAAAAGGCCCAGGACAGATTGGGTTGGATAATGCTGGTCGGTGGCCTATATTCCATAAGGGGTAACAGGCGTAACTAAGTAAGTCCTCATCAACTCTTTTCCATGACTCCATCACCACCACCACCACCACCACCACCACCACCGATGAATAACTCGAACCCATAAACTTCAATCTCACACACACAAATCCCTAACCCTACAAACCATCTAATCATTATCCAATAATATTAATATTTAACTTACTTGACAAATATGCATTAAAGTAAGTGTTGGCAATGATTTCCTTAATAATAATTCACGTTCTTTATCTAATAATTCACATAAAATAATTTGAGTAGTATCTGGTATTGGTATCATACTTTTATTCAATTGATTTATTGCCTTCATTTCATAATCTTGTGATTCATATAATTCTATTTGTGTAATTAATTCATTTATCCATAAATATTCTTCTTCCGTTTCGTCATCACCATCACCATGGTGACGACGACGACGAAGAAGAAGAAGCAGAAGAGGGTCATTTGAATTTCCCGCCATATTTTTGAAATATTGATTCCATATTTGTTTAAATGAATGTAATTTATTTAAAATATAAGTTATTTGTTTTAATAATTTATTTGACCATAATTTCATGAATTCTATATGATAATGATAATTTAAATAATAAGTAGTATTTAATAAGTAGTTTGTATCTTGTATAATAAGAATCCATTCTTTGATTGTGTTTTGTATATCAATTATGAATGAATGAATATTTTCATAGTGTATCATTGAATTCAATGATGGTAATGTTGCTACTGATGATGATGATGATGAATCTGGTTGTCGAAATGATGAATTCAATTCTTGGTTTAGATCACATCTGATACTACTACTAGTATTATTAGTAGTATTAGTAGTATGAGTAGTAGTACTACTATTAGTACGATTAGTAGTATTATACGGATTCATACAATTCATATTTATATTATGAAAATTTGTCATAATTGATGTAGTCATTGGAATTGTAATTGAAGATGTCGATGGAATAGATGATGTTGAATGATAATGAGGATAATAATCATATGGTGATTTTTGTTGTAGCTTTAATGGTGTTGCATAGTGGTTATGATGATTTAATGTTGGTGGTTGGTAATCATAGGGTAACATTGATGAAGTACTATTACTATTACTGAATGGTAAATATGATGTAACCATACTCTCTATCGGTTTATTCATTGAATTACCTGGTATATATTTTCTTGTATAGATAGGTTGATTATATAATCTTGAATAGGGTATATTTGATACATTCAATGTATTATCATAGTGTTCATAATAGGTTTGAGATAAATGATTAATATTACCATTTGAAGGGGTAATATATTGATTGGTTGTCGGAATATATGAATTTGATATAAAATTAGTAGTAGTATCATTAGTATTAGTATTAGTAGTAGTAGTGGTGGTGGTGGTTACTGTTTCATGAAGATAAGCAGTAGCAGCGGCAGCAACCGCAGCAGCTGCAATGACTGGATAAGATGAATAAGGTGTTGTTGAACATAAATAAGTTTGTGTATTAGCTCGTGCACGTTGAACAGCTAAATAATGAATAAATTGTAAAGTGAACTGAATTAAAACTTTGAATCAGTTAAACAATAATACAATTATATATTATCTATTATGAGGATTTGTGCGAATTGCAGCATTTTCAAAGTTGAATTCACGAGTCAATCTCAGCTAGACTACCATTGAAAAGTTGAAAGAATTGGACAGTCGTTTCGTCTTCAACAGTGCTCATCCAATATCCTGCACACGGGATTCGAATCCAGGACCTTTGATCTCTCTAGGAAAAGTTTAATCTCTAGACCACTGTGCTAACTGGTATCCAATAGAGTTAATGTCTAACTTCAATCAATCTATGATCTTTCACAACTCTTCATCTATTGTCTGAAGTGGATAATTGTCTCACAGTTATTCAATGCTTTCAGGTTTTCACTGGTGGACTAGTTTAGATTAACTCGTGAATCCAACTTTGAAAATAATTAATAATTAATATCAGAAGGGGTTTTGTGGATATTATAGTAACTTTAATAGTTGAAATCATGAAGCGATTGAAGCTAGACCATCATTGAAAACTTAGAAGCACTGGAGGTCTGTTTCATCCTATTGTGGAACTCCTCAGCAGTGCACATCCACGATAATACAAATGGGACTCAAATCCAAGACCTTTTGTCTCGTTAGAGAACGTCTAATCTCTGGACCACTGAGCTAGCTGTTATCCAACTGTGGTAATGTCTAACTTCGATCAACCTGTGATCTCGCACAACTCTTAATTCATTGTATGCAGTTTATAATTGTTAGTAGTAAAATATTCCTACGATCTTAAAGTGACTGATATTACCGGTGTATACACTCTTTGCTTTCCCTTAAGCCATGAGATTAAAATTGCTTTATACCTTTCGTTCTACCAACGAATTCTTTCTTCCTGTATTATATCCTTATACACAACCTTCGTTTTATATATTGCTACTGTTTAAGTAACTACTTCTATGAATTCGCTGTTTATCTTATTGTGCTAATGAGGTATGGCAATTTGGATCGATGTGCTTGGTCCTACGTTGTAGCCTACTGACTGACTCTCTATCATCTTACTTAAAAAATCGAGCAAAATACAAGACATGTTATCTTAATTCTGACTAGCTAACTCAAGACCATCAATAGATTATACTTTTACCGAATATCCACTTTAGCCACAGATCTCTCGCATTTTAGGTATAGCGTAGTCATTCCACTATTGAATCTAAATTCAACAATTACCAAATATTTCTACTCCAACTAAGCATTTATGTTGTTCCCTAGAAGAACAATCCTACAGCTTAAAGAATACTATATAAAAAATATCATGTTTGTTCATGTCCTTATAACTGATCGAATCTTATCGATTAAGTACTGTACCTCAATGGTAACGACTCAAATTGTGAAGTTGGGCGACACAAGTTTGAACTATACAGTCAGCATCAGTTTCTTCATATGAACTACCACAAATCGTCTGACAGTAATAATATCACAAACCAATCTAAGTTCGACAATCGTTGAAAACCTGGATACATTAAATAACCGTTCTATCATGGTATAGGACACCTTGGTGACAGTCCTGTCTACGATTTCGCAAACAGGAATCCAACCTATTTAAAGTTACTATTGATCAAATGAAGATTATAAATCAACTATTATAAACAAAGGCTTGAAGAGGTAATTCCTGGAGTTCCAATGAGAAGCAGCGACCAGTGGAGTTCAAACTACGTCTGTTGTGAGATATCAACTCACTGAAGACAATTGGTGAACAGTTGCTCAAATTCGTGGATTGGTTGAAGTTAGACATTAGCACCGTTGGATGCCGACCGGCTGAGTGCTCTATCGATTAAGTGCTCTGGCGCGAGACTGGTGGGTCCTGGGTTCGAGTCTCGCGGGGTGGGATTGTGGATGCGCACTGCCACTGAGGAGTCTCACAATAGGACGAAACAACCAGCCAGTTCTTCCAGGTTTTCCATGGTAGTCTAGCTTCAATTGACTCATGATCTTAACTATATAAAATTACTAAAATCTCCACGAAATCCCCTTCTGATAATCGTTGAAAACCTGGATACATTAGATAACCGTTCTGTATTGGCCTAGGATCCCTCAGTAACAGTCCCGTTTACCTTTTCGCAACCAGGAATCGAACCCATTATAAATCAATCAATAAAGACAATAATAATAATAAATAACGTTCCATAAATCTTTTCAATTAAAATATACATTGAATGGTGAGTAAGATTATTCGATTAAATAAAGCTTAGATATACATAAATAATCGACAGTTTACTACCCTATGCAAACACACAAATATTATATATGTATACATAAACACACACACACACACACCACGTAATCGAACAAAACTGACATAAACTCATGTTAACAAGATACAGAATGAAAATATCTACCCCCCTTTACACCACTTATCTACCCCTCCCCCCACCCTGAAAACACATATTTTATCTAGATAATCATTCATTCTAAATTGGTTACTATGACAATTGGATGGATGAGAAAATATGCCACACGAATAGTAATAATTTTTTCTGTTGTTTTTTTTTTTTTAATGATCAGGGCTTAATTCACACCGCTTAAATAGTTAGGTAACTATCTTTCTGTCTATTTACTTATACACAATATGGAGTATATTGAAAAGAAAAAAAGCTAAATTTATGTCCATGGAAAGTTCTAGTTTTAATTTCATTGTTTTACATAAAGAAAATTTTCTAAGCAAAGTTTGATAGTTATAAGCAGAGATGGTTATTGGCTAGCAATGGAAGAAGGTACAAGTATTTATAAACAGTTGTCTACGCAAAATACTCAACATCCATCGGCTGGATACTATCAGCAACAATGTTTTATGGGAGAGGACAAACCAGCTTCCAGGTGAAGAGGAAATTAGGAAAAGACGTTGAAAGTGGATAGGACATACATTAAGGAAATCACCAATGTGCATTACAAGGCAATCCCTAACTTGGAATCCTGAAGGGAAACGGAAAAGTGGAAGGCCAAAGTACACATTACGCCGAGAAATAGAAGCAAAAATTAAAAAGAATGAATAACAACTGGAAAGAACTTGAAAGGATTGCTCAGGACAGGGTTGAATGGAGAATACTGGTGTGTGGCCTATTGTTCTCCACGAGGAGTAACAGGCGTAAGTAAGTAGCAATCGAAGCTAGGACGGGCACTTTTTCTTATTTGAAACTCACCAGCTGGATGTTTCTGCATCTCAAAATTGTTGATGTTCACTCTGGGACTCGGACCCAGCACTGTTCGCCTCAAACGCTTATAATGCTCGTCAGTTAAGGCAATATCGAAGCAGTACTCACAGGATGCACATATATCAAAAGAGATTGATCAGTTGCAGTTTTAAACATTAATGGGAAGATTCAAACAATCGATAAAAAAGTGAATTGAAGTTTGATGGTAATTAGTAGTGAAATAGATGACATGGGTTTCGTTGTATCTGAGATTCATCATCCGGATGTATTGCATGCCCACAAAGGGACTCGAACCCGGAACCTTGTCTTTCAGACATTCAACTCATTGACCACTTAGATAACCATTATATTGAACTCTTGGTGTCAATATCCTGTTATTTAGTAATTATATGTTGAGAATATATACACCAATAATCCATAAATTAATTTTAGAGGTTACCATTTCTTCAATCTTCGTCCTGATACATTATAATGTATCAAGATATCCATTAAATGATGGTTAAATCCTGACAACGACAAATGACATCTGCTGGTAATTACATAATATTGAAGGATTTATGGAGATTGTAGAAATTTTAACAATTCAAATCACGAACTAATTTTAGTAAGACTACTATTAAAAACCCGAAAACACTAAGAGACCATTTCGTTCTAACATAGGATTTCCCGACAGTTTGCATCGATAGTACCGCGATAGTGAGATAAACCCAGAACATTCAGTTTTGAACAGGAATACTTGACCTTTAGATCACTGAGCCAACATCTAATGGTGTTAATATCTAAGTTCAATCAGTTCATGATATTGTGAGACAGCCTTCCGTTGGCTGCAGTTGATAACTGTTTCACTATCCCTGTGGTGGTGTCGTGAATGGACAGTGTCTCTGAGAAATCGTAAACTAAAATGAAGTAGCTATTCAGTGCACTTTGGGTTTCTATGGTGTTCTAAATAAGATCATCATGTGACATAATTTATATTGTTGATCACATATTCAAAAGTATTTTCCTCTAAAATAAGAAATTTACTATTCACTATCACAATAACATTTACTTCATTTCAGTAGTATATCTCTGATGAATTATTTCGTTGACTTTAATTAACAAGATACATCCACAATAAATCTTACTTACTTGTTTACTTCAACGTTCGTTCACATGTTAAGGAAACACTTCATACTCTATGTCTGTTAGTAGTAGACTATAGTTTACAAAAGAACATAAGATATCTAACCGTGACTATACAGTGACGAGACTATAATTTATGGACGACCTTTGAAAGAATGTTAATGGACTTTGAGAAATATCAGGCAATCAGTAAACAGTCAGTATAGAGTAAAAATATATTCTACAAAACCAAAGAATTAAAGTGGATACATTTCTTTCATATAGTCCAAAAACTTGTCAAGGTTAGAAAGAGGTTCAAAGGTTCTAAAATTGTAATGCATACGGTACGGGAACTCATTCATACGGCTCCATAACACATAGCTTCAATATTGTTTGTGTGTACTCTGGCTCTGTAAGCTTGTCATTTTTTATTGTGCATATATCCCTACAATACTCACACCACTGAACAGTCGGAGCTTCAGTAACATTTACGGTTATTGCAGCCAATGTTACCGGTGTTTTTATTATACAGTTCACGGTAATTATTATAATTTGCCTTAGATTTAATCTGGATCGAGTGAAAAAAGTTCATATTCTAGCAGATTTCTTCCTCCAACACATATTACACCGAAGGACAACATCACGGTAGTCTGCACAAGGTCTACAAGTCATCTGATTACTTCAATTACAAATAAAGG